CAGAAGCTAGGAATCCCCTATTGAACATCTCGTCAGAAGCTAGGAATCCCCTATTGAACATCTCATCATTTGTTATGCACAGTGATTCTTGACCATAAACTTGTAAACTTGCAAGCTCATTTATTTTACAAAAGAGTGAATTTTAAGATTCCATTATACAGTAGCAGGCAAAAATCTGTTGTGATAATTTTGTGGTTCAAATGTCATGGTTACCATTATATGTATTTTATGTCAACCTTAGATGAAGTGATAGATTGGCTGACAAACAAACAAACATCATGTCATAATATGATAAATACCTGAATCTATGCAAAGTCTGTACTGTGCAAATAGTGTTGCATTATAGAAAACATTCTTTTTTTCAAGGGATTGACCATGAGAAATTCGCATGTTTTGAAAAAAATCCTACAATTTATCCTTAAAACAGCCATGCTCAAAGTTAAGTGAAAGAAAACTATTTTGCCTAGTTTTTCTATTACATATACCTTCTTAGAGCTTGTAATAGTCAATGCCTCACAGTGTATGTATGCATACAGATACATTGGAGAACAACATCTGTTGACCTAATACTGAGTAAAGATAATCAAATGTGTTTTTAATTTGACTGTTTTTAGTATACACCATTATGTTACATTACTCGGGCAACGTTGAAAGCATTTAAACATCTATCACCTTGTGAGGTGTGAAAATGTGGGCTTCACCTCACAAATTAATTACCCATTATAATCCTATTATGCTGCAATTAAGTAGGTCTAGTGAATGCATGTAAGGACAGATGTGGTCTATAAATGTGTGTGTGTGTGGTCGAGCTGCTGAAGGTACTTGCTACATGAGGTCATCTGAGGTACACAGGCTGTTTTTTTTTTTAAGCGAATGTATACGTATTGTTATAGTAATGAACATTTAGGTGTATGCAACTCAGTGGAAAGTTAATGTACATTGAGGTGTGTCTGGTTCAGCGGTTTCACAATATTGAATCTAGCTGTGCCACTTTTGTATAAATATCCACTGATGTGTGGTAACATTAGCTATGATTGCTGTGTTATCAAGCATATATCAGCCAAGTTAGGGCACAGTATTTGTGGCACAGCCCACAACAAATTTTGCTTTAACAAACGGTGCATTTTACACACATTGCATCGGTCGCATTGAACTCGCGTTGAGTTAACTACTATACTTTTAGTTCTATGACTTTTTTCTGTTCAAAGTATTTTTAACCACATTTGTTCTATTAGTAGTGCATGCAATGATTGTGTGCTGCACCTGTCTTTTTTGTGGACGTGTGCTGCTGGTAGATAAAATATGGTGTCTCATTTTGTATGTGGACACGCA